TATGTTTGTACATGTATGTACAGTGTGACCTAAGTGTAAGTAGAAGTAGCAAGACATACCTGAAATCTTGCATGTTTATGAGACAGACAAAAGACACCAGCAATCCTACCATCAAGTAAAACAATTACACACACACACACACACACACACACACACATATATATATATATATATATATATATATATATATATATATATATATATATATATATATATATAATTATTGTACCCACGAACGAGAGGTATTGAACAATAACAACACTGCACTAGATAAAGGACTCGAACCCATGCTGCTTTGGCTTGACTCATGGTGGGCGAAAACACATGACGCCCTAATCCACTGAACCATACGATCCTTAAGAGTAGCGCATCCAGCGGAACTGGATGTTGTACTCGCTACCCAAGGACACACAATGTTGTGGATGACTCTAGGCTAATTTCATTCTAGTCCCTGTTTGGGGTACTAGTACAACGAGCAGTATTTTATATTATTGTGACCACGAAAGAGTGGTACTGATCAATAACAACACTGCACTAGCCTTGGGTAGCGAGTACAACATCCAGTTCCGCTGGATGCGCTACTCTTAAGGATCGTATGGTCCAGTGGATTAGGGCGTCATGAGTTTTCGCCCACCATGAGGTGGGCCAAAGCAGCATGGGTTCGAGTCCTTGGCAAATGCAGTGTGTTGTTATTGATATATATATATATATATATATATATATATATATATATATATATATATATATATATATATATATATATATATATATATATGTATGTATGTATGTATGTATGTATATATGCAAACATTGATCTCTGGCTGAAGGAGACTCGAACCTACGAACCTTGGAACAAGGTACGCAGTGCTATACCAATCTCCATGAAAGCTGGTTGCCTTGGATCAACGTTTAGCGCAAGCTGCACGCCAAGGTATTGTCCAGTGTGGTGAGATTGGTATAGCACTGCGTACCTTGTTCCAAGGTTCGTAGGTTCGAGTCTCCTTCAGCCAGAGATCAGTGTTCGCATATATACATACATACATACATACATACATATATATATATATATATATATATATATATATATATATATATATATATATATATATATATATCTTTCAACACACCGGCCGTATCCCACCGAGGCAGAGTGGCCCAAAAGGAAAAACGAAAAGTTTCTCCTTTTACATTTAGTAATATATACAGGAGAAAGAGCTACAAGCCCCTTGCTCCTGGCATTTTAGTCGCCTCTTACAACACGCATGGCTTACGGAGGAAGAATTCTGTTCCACTTCCCCACGGAGGTAAGAGGAAATAAACAAGAACAAGAACTAGTAAGAAAATAGAAGGAAACCCAGAGGGGTGTGTATATATATGCTTGTACATGTATGTGTAGTGTGACCTAAGTGTAAGTAGAAGTAGCAAGACATACCTGAATCCTTTCATGTTTATGGGACAGAAAAATGGCCACCAGCAATCTTACCATCATGTAAAACAATTACAGGCTTTCGTTTTACACTCACTTGGCAGGACGGTAGTACCTCTCTGGGCGATTGCTGTCTACCAACCTGCTACCTAGAATATATATATATAAATATATATATATATATATTTTTATTATCACACTGGCCGATTCCCACCAAGGCAGGGTGGCCCGAAAAAGAAAAACTTTCACCATCATTCACTCCATCACTGTCTTGCCAGAAGGGTGCTTTACACTACAGTTTTTAAACTGCAACATTAACACCCCTCCTTCAGAGTGCAGGCACTGTACTTCCCATCTCCAGGACTCAAGTCCGGCCTCCCGGTTTCCCTGAACCCCTTCATAAATGTTACTTTGCTCACACTCCAACAGCACGTCAAGTATTAAAAACCATTCGTCTCCATTCACTCCTATCAAACACGCTCACGCACGCCTGCTGGAAGTCCAAGCCCCTCGCACACAAAACCTCCTTTACCCCTCCCTCCAACCTTTCCTAGGCCGACCCCTACCCCGCCTTCCTTCCACTACAGACTGATACACTCTTGAAGTCATTCTGTTTCGCTCCATTCTCTCTACATGTCCGAACCACCTCAACAACCCTTCCTCAGCCCTCTGGACAACAGTTTTGGTAATCCTGCACCTCCTCCTAACTTCCAAACTTCGAATTCTCTGCATTATATTCACACCACACATTGCCCTCAGACATGACATCTCCACTGCCTCCAGCCTTCTCCTCGCTGCAACATTCATCACCCATGCTTCACACCCATATAAGAGCGTTGGTAAAACTATACTCTCATACATTCCCCTCTTTGCCTCCAAGGACAAAGTTCTTTGTCTCCACAGACTCCTAAGTGCACCACTCACTCTTTTCCCCTCATCAATTCTATGATTCACCTCATCTTTCATAGACCCATCCGCTGACACGTCCACTCCCAAATATCTGAATACATTCACCTCCTTCATACTCTCTCCCTCCAATCTGATATCCAATCTTTCATCACCTAATATTTTTGTTATCCTCATAACCTTACTCTTTCCTGTATTCACTTTTAATTTTCTTCTTTTGCACACCCTACCAAATTCATCCACCAATCTCTGCAACTTCTCTTCAGAATCTCCCAAAAGCACAGTGTCATCAGCAAAGAGTAACTGTGATAACTCCCAGTTTATGTTTGATTCTTTATCTTTTAACTCCACGCCTCTTGTCAAGACCCTCGCATTTACTTCTCTTACAACCCCATCTATAAATATATTAAATAACCACGGTGACATCACACATCCTTGTCTAAGACCTACTTTTACTGGGAAATAATTTCCCTCTTTCCTACATACTCTAACTTGAGCCTCACTATCCTCGTAAAAACTCTTCACTCCTTTCAGTAACCTACCTCCTACACCATACACCTGCAACATCTGCCACATTGCCCCCCTATCCACCCTGTCATACGCCTTTTCCAAATCCATAAATGCCACAAAGACCTCTTTAGCCTTATCTAAATACAGTTCACTTATATGTTTCACTGTAAACACCTGGTCCACACACCCCCTACCTTTCCTAAAGCCTCCTTGTTCATCTGCTATCCTATTCTCCGTCTTACTCTTAATTCTTTCAATTATAACTCTACCATACATTTTACCAGGTATACTCAACAGACTTATCCCCCTATAATTTTTGCACTCTCTTTTATCCCCTTTGCCTTTATACAAAGGAACTATGCATGCTCTCTGCCAATCCCTAGGTACCTTACCCTCTTCCATACATTTATTAAATAATTGCACCAACCACACCAAAACTACATCCCCACCTGCTTTTAACATTTCTATCTTTATCCATCAATCCCGGCTGCCTTACCCCCTTTCATTTTACTACTGCCTCACGAACTTCCCCCACACTCACAACTGGCTCTTCCTCACTCCTACAAGATGTTATTCCTCCTTGCCCTATACACGAAATCACAGCTTCCCTATCTTCATCAACATTTAACAATTAATCAAATATATTCCCTCCATCTTCCAATACCTCTAACTCTCCCATTTAATAACTCTCCTCTCCTATTTTTAACTGACAAATCCATTTGTTCTCTAGGCTTCCTTAACTTGTTAATCTCACTCCAAAACTTTTTCTTATTTTCAACAAAATTTGTTGATAACATCTCACCCACTCTCTCATTTGCTCTCTTTTTACATTGCTTCACCACTCTCTTAACCCTCTCTTTTTCTCCATATACTCTTCCCTCCTTGCATCACTTCTACTTTGTAAAAAACTTCTCATATGCTAACTTTTTCTCCCTTACTACTCTCTTTACATCATCATTCCACCAATCGCTCCTCTTTCCTCCCGCACCCACTTTCCTGTAACCACAAACTTCTGCTGAACACTCTAACACTACATTTTTAAACCTACCCCATACCTCTTCGACCCCGTTGCCTATGCTCTCATTAGCCTATCTATCCTCCAATAGCTGTTTATATCTTTCCCTAACTGCCTCCTCTTTTAGTTTAAAACATTCACCTCTCTCTTCCTGATGCTTCTATTCTCCTTGTATCCCATCTACCTTTTACTCTCAGCGTAGCTACAACTAGAAAGTGATCTGATATATCTGTGGCCCCTCTATAAACATGTACATCCTGAGTCTACTCAACAGTCTTTTATCTACCAATACATAATCCAACAAACTACTGTCATTTCGCCCTACATCATATCTTGTATACTTATTTATCCTCTTTTTCTTAAAATATGTATTACCTATAACTAAACCCCTTTCTATACAAAGTTCAATCAAAGGGCTCCCATTATCATTTACACCTGGCACCCCAAACTTACCTACCACACCCTCTCTAAAAGTTTCTCCTACTTTAGCATTCAGGTCCCCTACCACAATTACTCTCTCACTTGGTTCAAAGGCTCCTATACATTCACTTAACATCTCCCAAAATCTTTCTCTCTCCTCTGCATTCCTCTCTTCTCCAGGAGCATACACGCTTATTATGACAAATATATATATACAAATATATATATACAAATACACACACACACACACACACACACACACACACACACACACACACACACACACACACACACACACACACACACACACACACACGCACATATACAACAGGCCTAGTGTCTAATCGACATGTGCCTAGGACAAAATGGTTACTAACATATGCACACACACACATACATACACACACAGGCCAGGAGCTGAGTCTCGACCCCTCCAACCACAATTAGATGAGTACAATTAGGTGAGTACACACACACAAAAAAAAAAACACTCATACACTCACACACATACACACACACATATTTACATTCACACACAGGCCAGGAGCAGAGTCTCGACCCCTGCAACCACAATTAGGTGAGTATACACACACACATACATACATACACACACAAACCCAAGACAACAAAGTGACTCACTCCACTATGCCAACTTGAATTTATATAATTTACTCTCGTTAATTCAGTGCGAGAAAATTCTTTACTCAATCCACTTTATTGCAGGAAATGGATACAATGTTGATTATGTGTCATGCAGAGAGAGAAGTAGCAATGAAATGTCTTGAAACGGTACACGAACGGCAGCGAAAGCTGAGAGGAATAATATTGAAGGACAAAGTCAAAGCCAGACTCGTGAAAGTGTGTGAGTCTACCCGTTGAGGTAGCCAGCTAAGAAAGTACCAATGCCTTGCCAGGTGCGTTTCATTATACCGTTGTCTTCTTTTGTTTTCATTTTCTTCTTTTACGGCTGTGGTTCTCCACTATGGCTTGCACGCTGCTCCGCATCGTCCAGGCAGCAGTGAATCTGAGGAGGAGGTTTGAGTGTGCTATACAGTCCTCGTTCGACTCGGTGGAGAGCGGCGACGTGGCCGAGGAGCGAGACGAGCAAGCCAACACGGAAGAAAATGGACATGCTCAGCCTGGAGAGGAAGACATGAACACAAGTGAGCAGCTGTCCCAAAACTTTCAACTTTCGTTCGCAGAGGAGGACGAAGAGATTGAGAATATAGGTGAGCCCATTCAGACAAAAACTGTTGACCTCACTAAGCCCAAAATGACGTTCATCAACTTTGAAGAGACGGGAGATGATGGTAATATAGAAAACGAAGCTTATAGAGATGCCATCACATCAAGCTCAATTGAAATTATTGAAGAAAACGCGTTTTTCCCTCTAACCAAAGAAAGTGGGAGTGAAGCACAGACAAAAGAATACAGTTTTACAGACACTGAAAGTACTACTCATGTTAGAGAGGACATCCAGCCTGCTGCAATTCAGAAAATTCCTCTAGTGCAAGTAAACGAAATCAGTGGTTCAGACAGAAGTAGTGATAGTGATAGTGATAGTCGGTGTAGTGTGAAGTCTGTGAGGTTACGATACGCTGACGCAGTGTCGCCCTCTAGCGGCTGCAAACCAGCTAAGTTAATCCGGAGTGACGCGCTTGAAACAAACGCTGAAAAGGAATCAAATAACTTGCAATGGATTCTTCTGGTGAAAGAATCGGGATCGGAATTAGTGAAAGAAAGCGACAAAGAAAATGGAGATAGCACGACCGAAAGTGAGATTGACAAGACTGAACTGATGGGGTATTCAGATTGGTTACTTAAAGGTAAGGAGAGTCTTGAGGTTGGGACCTCATCGGACGAAAATGACGTTGAGAGTCCTGGAACAGAGGATGATGACGAGGTAGAAGACGAGGAGGAGGTGGAGGAAGGAGAGGAGGAGGAGGAGGAAGGGGAAGAGGAGGAGGAAGAGGACGAGGAGAACTACGACAGTGAAGACTACCTGGAAGACGACGACGAGCTCATGGCGGACGCATCTTTCGACGACTCCTTCGTGGACGACGGCTTCGTCAGTCTCGAGCTGGACGAGTACGATAATGACGTCATTATCGAGGAAAACGAAGAAGATCTGGAGAGAGAACGAATGGAAGAGGAGGTAATGGAGGAGATGAGAAGATACTGGCAAGAACGGTAAGTCGAAGTTTGTTGTTGAAGTTAAGACCTTGCTGAATCTTTTATTATTATTATTATTATTATATATATATATATATATATATATATATATATATATATATATATATATATATATATATATATATATATATATATATATATATATATATATTATGACGCTGATTCATGTGGAGAAAATAAGACAGAGAATAGGAAGAGTTTAGAGACGATGCTTAATACAAGTCAAATTAGAGACACGTAATACAAATGAGATCAAAGACACGTAATACAAATGAGTTTAGAGACACGTAACACAGATGAGACTAGGCACACGCAGTACGAAGCAACACATTAAACAAGGTTGCCTTCAGGACTGAGCTTCAGTAAAACTTGCTGAAACTCAGTCCTGAACGAAACATTGCTCTGCATTGCGCTTTTTCAACAGGTTTCTGAAGATAGCCTCAGTTACAGGGCGGAAAAAAAAATGCAAAAATCTTCCCGTCCTCTGACTTATTTTCCCACCGCGGGTTTATGTATTCCGTCTTTGAATTTATATATCTTTACTGAAATACATCGGTTTTATTACCTGTTATTCTATTGTTTCAATAGTCAGAAACTGAACTTTCACCCCTGGAGACAGTCACAAGGTTTGTTTGATATGCATGTTACACCAGTATCTATGTTACATCAGTATCTATGTTACATCAATGCCTGCATTAAACCAGTGTCTGTATTTTATCAGTGTCCACAATACATCAGTGTCTATATTAAATCAATGTCTATATTACATCAATGTCTATATTACATCAGTGTCTATATTCATTGCTTATAATCTTACCAAAGTTATTTTTCGTTGATCACGGGGATGGAAAAGGAGATAAGGAAGGGACGGATTAGAACGAGTTAGTCACCGTGGCTGACTGTGGCTACACACCAAGAGTCGGACATACAAACCTTCTCCAGTTTTGAGAAAAATGAGAACGATAGTTGGATGAAAACAAAAATATGGTAACCTCTTTAAGATTCCCTTTCGGTGATCGCTAATACTAATAAAAAAGATAATAATAATAATAATAATAATAATAATAATAATAATAATAATAATAATAATAATAATAATAGTAATAATAGTATTAATAATAAAAATAAAAAGATTGTTAATAATAATAATAATAATTTAATAATAATAATAATAATAATAATAATAATAATAATAATAATAATAAAGATAATAATAATAATAATTATAATAATAATAATAATAATAATAATAATAATAATAAAGATAATAATAATAATTATAATAATAATAATAATAATAATAATAATAATAATAATAATAATTAGAATAATAATAATAATAATAATAATAATAATAATAATAATAATAATAATAATAATAAAGATAATAATAATAATTATAATAATAATAATAATAATAATAATAAAGATAATAATAATAATTATAATAATAATAAAAATAATAATAATAATAATAATAATAATAATAATAATAATAATAATAATAATAATAATAATAAAGATAATAATAATAATAATAATAATAATAATAATAATAATAATAATATACTGGTATTATTATTTAAAAAAAATATTTTTTTTGTAGTTGTGTGTAAGTTCGTGTATTGTGTTGACGAGCTACTGCACAACCTGCCTAAATGTAGGTACGCATATTGCATGTTTTTTGCGCAAGAATGTACTGTTGTACGGTGGTGGTGGTGATGATGGTGGGGTACAAATAACCCGCACACAGAAGAGAGGAGCTTACGACGACGTTTCGGTCTGACTTGGACCGATTTACAAAGTCACACTAACGAGAAGGACGGGTATATATAGGCAGGAAGAGGTAGTGGTGGTGGTAGTAGTAGTAGTAGTTGTAGTGGTAGTTGTAGTGGTAGTAGTAGTGGGGAATTAAGGAGGAGGAGGAGCCAGTCAAATACAAAGAAAGGGAAGCACTGCAAGGGAGCTAGGTGCCAGCAGAGGGAGAGCAAGTATACAGAAGTGGGGGGGAGGGGAAGTAATGAAATGAATAATGAAAGAACAGAAACACAAGACAGAAGAAAGAAAGACAACCCAGAAGAGAAAAGAAAAAGGGAAAGAGGAAATTGGAAGAGGGAGAAGAAGAAAAAAGGAGGAATCAGGTTAAGTCACGGGTGTTCTGAAGTTTGGAGCATTTTACAATGTAGTGGGAGAGGAAGGCATCTACAGAGACGAAGCCAGGACTAAGATTCATACAAGGAAAGTTGTGTATTAAGGAGGATTCAACCAGACGGCGACTGTTAAAGTTGGAAGTAGGGAAGACAGTTTTAGCATATGACTAGTCAATTGGATGGCTAGGATCTCTGGATCTAGGATCTCTGGATCTAGGATCTAGGATCTAGGATCTCATTATTAGTGTGGGCAAGCCTAACACTATTTTTGTGCTCCCTAAGTCTGTCAGAAAGAGATCGACCAGTTTCTACAAAGTATTGAAGAGGACAGGAGGAGCAAGAAATAGAGTTGACACCAGAAACATCTGTAGAGGGAGGAGTGCGAAGAGTGTCAGTCTGGCGGAAAGTAAGCTTGATGTCTAAGGGAAGGAGAGAATTGTTGAGATTAGAAAGACCGGAAATGTAGGGAAGGCAGAGGACAGAAGAGTTCCCAGGAGTAGAGACTTTGGAAGACAAGAAATTACGTTTAGCACGTGAGAGGGCAGAGTCTATGAAATGGGAAGGGTAGCCAAGACGGGAAAACGAATTATGAAGAGTGGAAATTTCTGCTGGAAGGAACTGAGGATCACAGATGCGGAGGGAACGTTAGTGTGATTTAGTAAATGGTTCAAGTCGGACCGAAACGTCGTCGTAAGCTCCTCTCTTCTATGTGCGGGTTATTTGTGTATCATTCCAGTCACGGTAGTGTGCCTTTTTTTTTATTAATGATGGTGGTGGTTGTGACGGTGGCGGTGGCAGTGATGATGGTGGTGATTGTGACGGTGGTGGTGGTGATGATGGTGGTTGTGACGGTGGTGATGGTAGTGATGATTGTGGTGGTTGTGACGGTGGTGGCGGTGATGATGGTGGTGGTTATGACAGTGGTGGTGGTGATGATGGTGGTGGCGGTGATGATGGTTGCGGTTATGAAGGTGGTGATGGTGATGATGATGGTGGTTGTGACGCTGGTGGCGGTGATGATGGTGGTGGTTGTGACGGTGGTGGCGGCAGTGATGGTGGTGGTTGGGACGGTGGTGGCGGTAATGATGGTGGTGGTTGTGACGGTGGTGGTGACAGTGATGATGGTGGTGGTTGTGACGGTGGTGGTTGTGATGATGGTGGTGGTTGTGACGGTGGTGGTGGTGATGATTATGGTGGTTGTGAAGGTAGTGGTGGTGATGATGGTGGTTGTGACGGTGGTAGTGGTGATAATTATGGTGGTTGCGAAGGTGGTGGTGGTGATGATGGTGGTGGTTATGACGGTGGTGTTGGTGGTGACAGTGATGATGGTGGTGGTTGTGACGGTGGTGGTGGTGGTGATGATGATGGTGGTTGTGACGGTTGGTGGGTGATGATGATGGTGGTGGTGGTTGTGTGGTGTTGTGGTGATGATTCTGGTGATGTGAAGATGGTTGGTGGTGATGTTGGCGGTGGTTGTGACGTTGGTGGTGTGATCGCATTATGGTGGTTGTGAAGGTGGTCTTGGTGATGATGGTGGTGTGTTGTGACGGTGAGGTGGTGATGATTATGATGGTGAGATGGTGGGTTGGTTGATGAAGATTGGGTTTGTGGACGGTGGTGGCGGTGTTGATTATGGTGGTTGTGACGGTGGTGGCGGTGTTGATGATGTGTGGTCGTGACTGGGTGGCGGGCGTTGATGATGATGGTGGTTGTGGCGTTGTGATGATGGTGCGTGGTTGTGACAGTGGTGGTGTGTAGATTTGGTGGTTGTGAAGGTGGTGGTGGTGATGATGATGGCTTGGTGATTATGACGGTGGTGGTGGTGATGATTATTATGTGGTGAGGTGAGTGGGGTGATGACGATGGTGGTCGTGACGGCTGGTGGCGGTGATGATGGTGGTGGTTGTGGCGGTGGTGGCGGTGATGATTAGGTGGTTGTGACGGTGGTGGCGGTGTGATGTGTGGTGGTCGTGACGGGTGGTGGCGGGTGATGTGTGGTGGTCGGTGGCGTGGGGCGGTGATGATGGGGTGGTTGTGGGTGTGACAGTGGTGGTGGTGATGAATATATGGTGGTTGTGGAAGGTGGTGGTGGTGATGATGTTGATGGTGATTTGACGGTGGTGGTGGTGATGATTCTTTTGGTGGTGAAGGTGGTGGTGGTGATGATGAGGTGGTTACCGGTGACGGTGGTGGCGGTGATAGCTGGTGGAGGTGGCTGACCGGTGGTGGCGGTGATGCTGGATGGTGGTTGTGACAGAGGGTGGTGGTGGATGATTATGGTGGTTGTGGAAAGGTGGTGTGGTGATGATGATGGTGATTATGCCGGTGGTTGTCGGTGGGTGATGTTATTATGTTGTGAGGTGGAGGTGGTGATGATGGTGGTGGATGTGACGGAGGTGGCGGTGATGATGGTGGTGGTTTGTGGCGGTGGTGGGGCAGTGATGATGTGGTGGTTGTGAGGTGGTGGTGGTGATGATGGTGGTGGTTGGGAGGTGGTGGTGTGATGATGGTGGTTGTGTCGGTGGTGGTGTGATGTTATTGTGGTTTGTGACTGTGGTGGTGTGTGATGGTGGTGGTTTGGACGATGGTGACGTTGAGATGGTGGTGGTTGAGTAGGTGTTGGTTGGCAGTGATGATGGTGGTTGGTTGTGCGGTGGTGGTGATGATGATGTTGGTGGTTGTGAGGTGGTGGTGGTGATGATTATGGTGGTTTTGAGTGGTGGCTTGGTGATGAAGAAGTTGGTTGTGGACGGTGGTGGTGGTGATTGATGGTGGATGGTTGTTGGACGGTGGTGGTGGGGTGGTGATGTTTATGAGTGGTTGTGAAGGTAAGTGGTGGTGATGATG